TACAATTATGGATGTGTGCGATGGAAACGTCGTAGTTTTTTTTGTTATTTTCTTTGAACCTATCTACGTGACTTTACCGAAAGACCCAAAGAATAACTGACTTATACTTCTCAATATTTACTTGAAGGCCATGAAGATGCACACGCAGTTGTTTTTTTTCTATTTTTGGCAGCATTTTTTTTTCATCGGGCACTTGTTATGGACAGCACACACATACTGTATGGCGCGCAGTCAATTTACATACATCACCCCCTTCGTTAATTGTCTCTTAAGCAGAGTCACACAAGTTATTTAAGGATGTTTGCACATGACACCGCGGCTCGTCTCCCCACCTCCCCCTCCAACGAGGTGCAATGCAAGGGGTGTGATCCTTCTCATGCAATCATCGCCATCGCTCACGGGGATCAATTTGAGGATGGGCAAACCAATATTTAGCGTGAGTCGATTGGTGATATGTTAACCGTGGTGGTGTGAAGTTGTCTTCGCAACGTGCTACATGTTTGGCTGTTGTTGCAAATGCACGGGCTAAAGTGTTAATTGTGTGATCGCCATTGATTACAGAGAAAACTGTATTTCATTATCCAGACTGCATAACTTCAAGGGGGAATTTTCAAACATTTGCTCTATCTTATGAAGATAGTATGGATATGACTGTGGAACCATTTAAAAAGTTGGTCACTGTCTTCTGGTGTCACCTTCACAAATCCCAAAATGTCATAATGAATCATAATTTTACAATAATAATAACAGAATGTAAATGATTACTGTTGATAAGGAGATAACAAATATCACAATCATATCACTTTGTTAAGCAAAGAACACTGACACCAGTACGTACGTATGTATGTATGTTGAACTTCTTTCGCACCATACGTAGCCAACCCTGATAATTGTAGCCAAACGTGCTAATTATATAGTTATACACAGTGGGTCATTAATTTGATAGCACAAATAATACTTATAGCTAGTGGTAGTAGCTAGCTTCAATTGCTATACTGTTCTTCAATAAACATTTTTCATGGAAACAAATTCCTGATAGATACAGTGTGCTTGTGTATGCCACTATATGAATACTTGTTGCATTCAAACGTTTTAATCAATGAAAAGTGTTGGAATTTTACCATGTAAATCTGTTATCCAGTAACAATATTTATTCATTTGTAGTGTGATTCCACACGAGGAATCTGATAAACTAAAGGGTCTGGTTTAAGCTTATGGGTATGTGGCATATGCTATGGGATTGCTTCATAATTACTGTGTGAAATGGTGGCCTTCGTGGCTCGAACCTGTTTGTTTAAGTAATTTAAGGGCTCACCGTAACATTCACTCTTTCCACTGCACCCTTGAGAACACGAGCCCTCGAACATTGCTTTACAATTATTCTGCCATGATTTTCCAGCAGCCATTTCATTGCACGCGGCGATTAAATTCAAATAAATATTGCCACTGGCCACGGTGAAATGCAGGACAGAGAGAAAATAAATCTGCTGGTATCGGGAGAACTTAATTAACAGAAATAATAAATATTCGTTTTCAGCAAAATATTAAAATAAAATGTGCCAGCCATAATTGGTGCAATATATAACGCTAAGACGTATTTGCATGTATTTAAAAAAAAGTTTATTTTATAGCAAAATGTAGCGATGGATTTTTTTTTATCAAGTTGCACCCATTAAGAGCACATTATGTGGAAACAATTGTATTCTGCCTCAGCCGGTATAAACTATCAATTAGTTGGTGATTACATCGGTGGTATTTACATATTTTAGCAATCGTGCAGGGTTATAGAGCTCTTTATTTTCTTTGAAATAAAAACAAATCTGTATCAATACGTGTTTATTTTACAACGTCACATCACCACTCCACCAATGCGGCTGTCGTTACCGTCCTCCGTATCCCAAGCGCTGGAATGGCAACCACTGAATGCCTCAGTTGCCCTCCACCCCCCCTTTGCTTATCCACCTGCTTGCCTGTCTTTTGATCAAGTCCGCTTGCGTTTCTAATTCATGATCGTTCTACGATTTCAGAGGATTATTCACTTCATCCCAGGTGCCAGGGGTGACAGTGTTAATCCATGCATACATGATAGAATGCAGGTCATCGATGTTATTTAATTATGAGCTGCGTTGAGAGAGTAATTGAGTTTGGTTCGTATGCAATGCATAGCCATGGGATATTTTCAATCCATATTTCAGTGGTAGTGCACAGATGGATATCTACAGTGAGGGAAAAAGGTATTTGATCCCCTGCTGATTTTGTACGTTTGCTCACTGACAAAGAAATGATCAGTCTATAATTTTAATGGTAGGTTTATTTGAACAGTGAGAGACAGAATAACAAAAAAAATCCAGAAAAACGCATGTCAAAAATTTTATAAATTGATTTGCATTTGAATGAGGGAAATAAGTATTTGACCTCCTCTCAATCAGAAAGATTTCTGGCTCGAAGGTGTCTTTTATACAGGCAACGAGCTGAGATTAGGAGCACACTCTTAAAGGGAGTGCTCCTAATCTCAGCTTGTTACCTGTATAAAAGACACCTGTCCACAGAAGCAATCAATCAGATTCCAAACTCTCCACCATGGCCAAGACCAAAGAGCTCTCCAAGGATGTCAGGGACAAGATTGTAGACCTACACAAGGCTGGAATGGGCAACAAGACCATTGCCAAGCAGCTTAGTGAGAAGGTGACAACAGTTGGTGCGATTATTCGCAAATGGAAGAAACACAAAAGAACTGTCAATCTCCCTCGGCCTGGGGCTCCATGCAAGATCTCACCTCGTGGAGTTGCAATGATCATGAGAACGGTGAGGAATCAGCCCAGAACTACACGGGAGGATCTTGTTAATGATCTCAAGGCAGCTGGGACCATAGTCACCAATAAAACAATTGGTAACACACTACGCCGTGAAGGACTGAAATCCTGCAGCGCCCGCAAGGTCCCCCTGCTTAATAAAGCACATATACATGCCCGTCTGAAGTTCGCAAATGAACATCTGAATGATTCAGATGACAACTGGGTGCAAGTGTTGTGGTCAGATGAGACCAAAATGGAGCTCTTTGGCATCAACTCAACTCGCCGTGTTTGGAGGAGGAGGAATGCTGCCTATGACCCCAAGAACACCATCCCCACCGTCAAACATGGAGGTGGAAACATTATGCTTTGGGGGTGTTTATCTGCTAAGGGGACAGGACAATTTCACCGCATCAAAGGGACGATGGACGGGGCCATGTACCGTCAAATCTTGGGTGAGAACCTCCTTCCCTCAGCCAGGGCATTGAAAATGGGTCGTGGATGGGTATTCCAGCATGACAATGACCCAAAACACACGGCCAAGGCAACAAAGGAGTGGCTCAAGAAGAAGCACATTAAGGTCCTAGAGTGGCCTAGCCAGTCTCCAGACCTTAATCTCATAGAAAATCTGTGGAGGGAGCTGATGGTTCGAGTTGCCAAACGTCAGCCTCGAAACCTTAATGACTTGGAGAAGATCTGCAAAGAGGAGTGGGACAAAATCCCTCCTGAGATGTGTGCAAACCTGGTGGCCAACTACAAGAAACGTCTGACCTCTGTGATTGCCAACAAGGGTTTTGCCACAAAGTACTAAGTCATGTTTTGCAGAGGGGTCAAATACTTATTTCCCTCATTAAAATGCAAATCAATTTATACAATTTTTGACATGCGTTTTTCTGGATTTTGTTGTTATTTTGTCTCTCACTGTTCAAATAAACCTACCATTAAAATTATAGACTGATCATTTCTTTGTCAGTGGGCAAACGTACAAAATCAGCAGGGGATCAATTACTTTTTCCCTCACTGTATATATATACAGTAAAAGGTAAATGTGTGAATATGTCTGCCTGTTTGCAATATTTAGCATACTTTCCAACATGCAACAAACCTGAAATGTGGCATGTGGGTAGATGCCACAATGTACACAATGCTAAAAGTATAAAAAAAATACTTATATATTTTGGGGGGAGGGGGGCGCAATAATGGATATAATATTTTGCACGGCAAGTGAGCGGTGACGTCACTTCTGTGATGTCACCCGCATGCGGCAGCGTCACGCAGTGTGCCTGCTGACGTCTCGCATCCCCGTCCCCCCAACCCTCCGCGTAGGCCGTCTATTAATCCAAGACAAGAATCCAAGTCTCGGGCGAAGCCGGGCAGTAAAGCTAGTATTTAATAACATCAAATTGGTTTATCTGGCCAGCTAGCTCATCGGTATAATGAGTGGCTATATATGTATGTTGAACTTCTTTCGCACCGTATGTAGCCAATCGTGCTAATCGGAGGTGTGGGGGAAAGACATCAAACTAAACACAAAAAGCAGTTCTAAAGAAATGACTCGCAATCAGAATGTTAAGAGTTCAATCCTTTTGGGGGTTGACTCATGCCCATCATATCTCTAGGGTTGAGAAAATAAGTACCACTTTATCAATAGTGGTTGTCCTATGGACAGACTCACCTCTGCCATATGAATAAGGAATTCCCACCACTGCCTCAGGGCTGTAAACAGGAGATGCACACTGCCTCGATGCTCATTGGAGCAAGAAATCACTTTGACACTCAAAAGCCACATAAGATCTACTCAGTCAAGCGCTGAAATCCATTGCCAGCAGTTAATATTCTGATTTAGGCACATAATATTTAATCTCATGCAGAGTACACTCATTAAATAAATGAGCAGGCAATTGAAACTGCAGCTGTTCAAGTCTCCTGTTCAATGTCAAAGCATTTATTCGTTAATGGTTTATCAGACCACATGTAGCTGATGAGACTCAGTGTAGTTGAGGCCATTTCAAGAAATCACTTGTTTGTGCAAATGCTCATTAAACATATCGCCTGATTAGCAATCATTAAATAATGCACCAGATTCAGCCAACAGCTTAAAATGTACAGATATAAGTGCACGTTGCAATGCATAGATATCTACACGGGTTTCAATGCACAATCAGCGGTGCAGTGTGTGCAAAAAGCAGCATGGGTAAGTATACTCACAGCACTCTTAAGCTGCCCAGTCCTGCAAAGGAGCTCTTAGGTACATGGGCCAAGTCATTGCCAGCCAATCGCCTGCGACGAGAAAATACACACATGCGATCGAGTTACCGAGTGAGCGGCAACATGTCTTGGCGAACAATTCATATATACACTGTGCCCCATATCTAAGTACGTTAGGGTGTATTGGATGTGTCTGTCATTCACCATCAACAGAAAAACATATAAAGTGTGGTTTGTCCAATCGCTCTCTTTTTATTCAACGATGGTAATTAAAAGAAGAAAGACAGTGTAAATGTGCCGAGTGTCGTGTTAAAAATTTTTTTAATATAGGAATTATGTAATTGGGTAGCGGTACGAGTGAGCTTGGACAATGTGTACATTGGCAGCATTCTCACAAACAACATTCCACACAGAATGTTAAGGTCTGACTGTAGGTTTAACAAACATTAACATTTACAATCTGAGTAAATGTTAATGTTACAATCTGACTACTCAGATTGTAAATGAATCGCTATCAGAAGGTTGTAAATGTACTCAGGTTGTACATGTTGTCGATTTGCTCTCCAACACACCGGTGTGCTGTGCGAGTAACAAATTGGCACGTTCTGTTTGCATGACAAACCTTACTAATTGGCTGTGTAGGGTGGTGGTGGTGGTGGTGGGTTTAACGACGCAATTATATTTATGCGATCTAACAAAAAAAACCCACGTATTATGGATACCTAATTAATAATGATATAAAGTGTTCATTAACTGACGTGAAAAAAACCCTCAATTTTTTTACATTTTTCTTTTCTTATGGTTAATCCAAAAACATGCCCATAGCTCATGGTTCCTGCCCCATTTCAACAAGGTATAGTATAGAGCCTTAGTAGTTCGTATCATAAATGTTGTCACAAATTAATTTCTTGTTTGCGACCACCCGTCTTTCTTTTGCAAACAATATTAATTCCTCTAACAAATGGCAACGCATGCTCGCATGTGTTGAACAGCAGTGTGGCTGCAATAATTTATACAATTGATAAGTTCAGCCAGTGACCCTATTTGATTTTTCACAAAAGGGGTTATTCTAATTATCAATTATTTAAAAAAATATATATATGTATAACGATTTATTTCAGTCATTAAGCAATTCCTCGACGCATTCTACTCGGTTTAGTGTGCATGCAGCAAAATGAAACATTGGGTTCTGACTCTCATCATGCTCTTTAATGTATCAAGGACACAGGCATGCGACTCCGTGTTGATAACGTATATTGTGAACAATGTGTAATGAATACGTGTGTTTGCCAGTGTGTTATTACTGTCATCAATCATCATATGTCAAATACTGCAGCTTAGAGCGGTTTGTATCACCTGGTCATTTAAAAAATATATATATGCACGCAAACACTAATGACCTAAGGCCCTTCAAATGCTACGTGCCTCTTACTATGTTCGTGACACTGTGACATGCTGACATGTATATTATTCTGCAGTCTGGAACGCAGGTGGATGTGCAAGTCACTTCAGAAGCGTGAAGGATTTTCTATGATATTTGTTATTTGGGGTTTCATTGAAAGAGCAGAGACGTAACTTTCCCCGCAGGCTCTTACGCGTCGGGAGAGTAGGGCCATTTCAAGGGAAGATGAAATGTGCAGCTTCAAAAGGGTGTCTGTGATGCAGGGGGGGGGGGGGGGTCGAGGTGGTTTCACGTTGGCTGTGTACAGTGCTTGTCACTTCTTGCTGCAATTGAAATTTTCGTTGAGAATCCAAAGAAGGTGCCACAAATTAACAAGCTGGGAGGCCACGATGCAAGATAAATTAAACAAACTCATCAGCAGCACTTGCCTTCATTTTTTTGTTCTCTTTCACATATAATCAGCGCGGTTTCAGGCAAAGGCCCTTTGTGATATCTGACGATATATTTATTTATTTTATTTCCAAGGCAATGTTGTTGACACGTGTGTTGATGTTTGTTTGTTAATTGCAGTGTGACCGAAATTTGTATTCAAGAAATATGGTGGGTTTTAATCACCACATTTACATACATGTTGTCTATGATATAGATTTACAGCGTGGCATGTCCCAAAGATAAATAGTTTCATACTCAAATCGCCCAATGTAGCATTACTGAACCCGTACAGACACATATCAGAGATATGTAGCATTCAATAGCTCTTGATACCTATGGCAAGTTTTTTTTTTACCATGTAAATGATCGTGGCAATGTTCACTGGCTATCTTTTCTTGGCCGATCATGCGAGGGTTTTGTCAATTGTAAATTAATGCCCCAATGTCTCTTTTGCAAATTATGCTATCCTGGTCTCTTGGGGTCTCACCTCGCTAAACAAATACACTCGCATTATTACGTTCAACGTGTATAGCTTTCACAAATGTAAAAAAGGTTTCCTGATGTCAAGCAAGATTAGGAAATGCTATTTTTAAGACTAAATGCAATCGGCCAATGTTATTCCATCAAACAAGTCAAGGATGTCATCTCCATATCTCCATATATATAGAAGGCAAAGTTGTGATTATGTGTTGGTTCAAAATGTTTAGAATACTTCCCGACATGCAACAAACTTGAAATTTGCCATGTGGGTACTTTTCAGACTACACCATGCAAAATATCATAAAAATACACTTTTGGGGGGGGGGGGGGGAGCTCAATAATGTATATATTTTTTGCACGGCAAGTGAGCTGTGACGTCAAATCTGTCATGTGACCCGCGAATGTGGAAGCGTAACGCATTGTGGTGTAGTGGTTAGCGCGCTGCACTACGAACCCGGCGACCCGAGTTCGATTCCCGTTCACAGCCACCACCGGTGACGATTATTTGAACCGGTCCTGGGCCTCCCCTAGGTCGACTCAGCCTCAAACAAGTAACTCGTGTGGTGTGTGAACATCGCCATTGGGTAGACAAAGGCGGCCGGGCATGGTGAATCCAAGTCCCGGGCGAAGCCGGGTAGTTAAGCTAGTTGATATATAAAAAAGCATCTTGTATCTCATTGGAAAAGGCAACTATCAAGATGCTAATGTGCTTAATTTTTCAGGCTCCGCAGTGGCTCTGTATCATGTTGTTTAAAGGGTAATGCAAGGGGGCACTTGTGGCTGGTAACTTTTAAAAGCGTCATATGATTTATTTTTATAGCTCTTACTTTTTGTTGAGGCAAGTTACCCACTGCTGTTATTTTTTTTTGAAAAACCGAACCTCTTTCAAGTACGATTTTGCTCACTTTTAGATCAGGATCGAGGAACTTGCTCACCTTGTAAATATTGATCTCCGAATCGCTGACGCCTGCTCATTTTTGCCGCGTCCTTTGAATCGGCGAGACGTCATGCGAATAGTTGCGTGGTGAAAACACGCAGCATATTGCACTGTCAGGTGATTAACAGAGCGACTGAGGTTCACGTTGCTGAATAGTTCATGCGACAGGAATAGCTGCCTCGCCGGTGCAAGTTTATTGACCAGGACGCATGTCACCAATCTGTTGCCAGTGTCTCTTCGCGTGCGTCACTGCGACATTCTGCCGCTCGCACTAAAGGTCCAGGCTGAGCGTTTCTCACAGCGCGTTACCAGAGGGCATATTTATTTTCAGACTCAAGGGCATTACAAGCATTGTCCGTGACATTTTCTTTGGGATGAAAAAAATACTTTGATTCTGGTCTTTCAAAAACAAATACTGCACACTAGCGGTAGCCTCGGGACTTTTGTGTCTCGGTTAAAAGTCAATAGCAGTGCCCCACCTTGGAACTTGGCGGAGTCGAGAAGCAGCCAAGAAAGCGGGCAAGATGAAAGATAGTTTGAGGTTATGTTAAACGTCTTTTTTTATATTTAATAAAGATTGAAATGCTGTGCAGCCACCATGCTCTTTTGCTCCTGTCAGCTGTTTCTTTTTTTGCTGGCGCTTAAACGATCATATGCTTTGAAATGTGCATGGCATTGTGGGAATTTTGTTTCAAAGCTGTGACCGAAACACTTTAATCTCACAATTTTGTCCAAACTGCATATATGGTATTCTCAGATATTGTAGCTTCCATCACAGACGATGTTGCCAGATGTGTTCCCATATACATCGACATACTGTATAACTGTATGTGCCAATGATGTTAGGGCTTTAATCGTTGTCCTTCAGCTTGCTCAATCCAAACGCCTTCCTTGTGGCAAAAAATAACAACGACAGAAAAGAACGTAACAACTTTTCGTAATCATCATTAGACCTTCTTTGCCAGTACCAAAATGTAATAATAGGGGTTTTCCCCTTTTTTCTGGCAACAAAACTGAAACCTTTTTACAAGGATTCATGTTACTGCATTAACCACAATACCTGCAGTCAAAATGCAAACAAAAAACATACTATGATAATATATGCATTGTCCTTGAAACTGATTGGTCCACACCAAGGGACGGCTTTCTTTTGATGATGTAGATGCTCACCACGAGCCCTCATTACTTTGATAGTGCATTGTCTTTGAGCTGTACGCCTTTTAGCGTCATCTGGTCGAGCACCAATTGGGTCCAGGCTCAAAAGAAAGCCGTCCCTTGATGTGGACCAATCAGTGTCAAGGACAATGCATATATTATCATAGTATGTTTTTTGTTTGCATTTTGACTGCAGGTATTGTGGTTAATGCAGACATGAATCTTTGTAAAAAGGTTTCAGTTTTGTTGCCGGAAAAAAAGGGGAAAAACCCTATTATAACTTTTCGTAAATTAAACTTACGAGGGAAAAAAAACAAGCAAATGGAACTTCAGAGTGAACTCAATAACGAGAAAGATTGACAACAAATGTGACAGGGAAAAGGACCGATGCAGAATAAGCAACATTTCATGCCCTTCTCCGGGGCACATTGATGCAATTTCAGTCGCGCCTGCAGGCCGCGTGCGCTATGTGTCACAGCGATCGCAGGCGTATCCTCCACACTGCGCTCCGAGTCGCACGGTAAGGTGTCTGTGTGAACACAGACACGCTCACGCACGCGCACGCCTGTCTGTGTTTGTGATTTCAAAAAAGAGACGTGACTGGCTTTTGTTATAAATGAGCTCACTTTTTGGGAAATATGTATCTCCTGCTATGAAAGAAGACAA